TTCCTTTTTCTTATTTTTAACTTTCCTAATACCAAGGGGAGCATGGCAGCCCAAACAACATTGACACTATAATTCCTGGTGTATAAAATGTTAAAATTGTATGCTACCTTTAATTTCGTCCCGTTACCGTTGCAAACAATAAACATTCCGAAAGCGAAATATGATTTACACACTGTCACGGAAAATTTCGGTGAACGCCGACAGTGCTGATTCATGAGGCTCTCGATATGCGCAAATCTCTCCATCAATCAACGGGTGTCGCCAAAATTTGTATTACAATCAATAAACAAGAATTCGTATTGATAGTATCCTATTAATATTATAAATGTAAAAGTTTGTTTGTTTGTTACTCAATCACGCAAAAACTGCTGAATGGACTTGGATGAAATTTGGTACACATATTGTTTATGAGCTAGAGACATATAGGATTAGAAGTATTTATCCTAAGTATAGGAAAAGATTCTCAAAAACTCAAGGTTAACGCGGACGAAGTCTAGTGGGTTACTACAAGTATTTTTGAATATCCCAATTTATAAAATCATATTCCCCACAGGATCTGGACTTTTATCATGGTCTCTTAAGTCTATATACTTATGTCGTTATAAAGTAAAATGTTACAATTTCATAAATACATACTCAATTTTTAACTCGCATTTTTATCTAACTAAAATATTATTTTAGCATAGCTATACATAAATTAATTTTCATAATAAACATATTAAAATGTGGCCATCTGGTTCATCAGAGCTTTTGTAATAAAATCACGTAACGAGTAGTAAATATCATCATTAGTATTATCATAACAAATACATTTCGCGTTTTGGCTAATGTAATAAAATTTATTTGTTGAATTTTCATTAACAGCAACTACTCAGGTTGCATATTTAATAATCTTCGCATCTACGAAGCCAGTACAAACTTCATGCTCTACTTATGTTTTATGATTTAATTTATCGCATAAAATCATTAAACAACCGTTTCCATTTCCTTCTTGTATGTTGCGTTAAGAAAGGTATCCGTTTGGTCAATTAAAATTTGACCAAAGCATTTAGTCTTTATTGTAACTTGCCGGCGCCGGGGACATTGACTGTCCAAGATGAGCACCTCCACACCTTACATAACATTAATTTTCAAAGTATTGTTTTGACATTTCGATATTGTCTATTGAATACTAAATTTATTTACCATTTATGTCTTGCATGAAAGAAATATTTTCTGGTGTGAGGGTAAATAGGTCTTGATTTCCAGTAATTGAATGTGATCGCACGGATTGTCACTACTACTGTAATGGATTAGAAGTCCTTAGCCGCGTCTCTGAAACACATGGTAACAGAGGCGTTTCGGGCTTAATTTAATTGAATTATACTTTCGGTGTTTGCCCATCCGTCTCATCAAGAAGCTTTTCTGATAAATTGATACTGTAATTGCAAATTTCAGTTTGAAACTATTCAACAGTTTTGTGTAAATATCACATTCTAATAATAACGTCTAAAGCGACGACGCTGATGTTATGAAAGAAATCGTTATGGGACTCAGTTTACCATTTACCAAATGGATTAATTAACTTTACTTTTAACTTTGTACGGAGATTGAATGGCGTTAACCTATATGCATGTATAAAGGAACATGGATTAAGAACGTCTTAACCAATTTAGTTGTTTTTTTTGTTCTTAAAAATTGTCAATGGACAAGTTTTATATGGATTTTTTCTTGGATAATTTAACAGAAACCATCAACATTTGGAAAATTAGGAAGGTGGGTATCATTAGTAGGTTTAATATTAGATCTAACTACACACTTCAGTCAATTATAGTCCTTAGTGCTCCCACACATAACTGCGAATTCGCATCGCATCGCAAATATCTGCAAGCTCGCACGAATGCACCGCAAGAAATTCGGATCTGATTTGCATCGCGTATGCCTGCGATATTACGACACACTTGGTGGCGCCATTTTAGTCCGCTCCGAGACTTCAACTATGATCGTTTTTGTAGATATGGTGATAATAAACTCAAAAATCCTTCAAATGAATATGCTCATTATAAAATAAGAAGAAATATATATCTTTTTCTGTTGTGAAACCATGGTATTTTCGATTAAAATTGTTCAGCATCAGCCAGCGTTCATAATTGTAATAAATATGTGAACCCAAAATCTTCTTTTTCCTACTATATCTATTAGCAATAGCAGCAGTGCAACAATATTTTGGAGGTCCATGTCACTATTACTAAAACACGTCCAATACGGCTGATTACTATTGAAGGTATGGTCACCTAAACTAAGCTTTGCCGTACGAAATCGTATCGCAACAATTGGCATCGCATCGCAGTTTTGTGTGGGAGCTCTTAAATTGAGAAACTGACTACAATCAGTTTTCACGTCATTTTCGGGTTCTTGTTTTCCTGTTCCACTAAACCGAAAGTAATTCTCCGAACTGTTGCGAGAGTTTGTTTATTAGTTATCATGATCGGAGTTCAGTCTTTGACGTCAGTACGATACAACACTAAGGCTGGGCGCATATGTACGGTTTCCTGTTTAGTAATTCAGATTCAGAATTCCGTGAGCCTAGCACAGACGTTTCGTTTTTTAAGGTCCTTACCGGACCGAATTTTAGATTTTTTCCATTCTGAAAAAATAAGAATAGTGTGCGGCCTCGTTGAATATTTTGTATGTAAGGACGTGCATTCAGATCTCCGATTGGAATTCCTGATCACGAAACTGTACATATGCGCCGAATAATCTATAACTGATAGAATACTCGTCGCGCTTTTTTGCATCTAAAACTTGAATTGATAACTTATAGACCCTTAGGTAACCACATCGGTATTCAGTTCGCGTATAACATGTATGAAAAATATTATAAAGTATATACATATGTAAAAGGTTTTTTTACTTTCTACCAAACGTGATTGAAAGAAACCACTAAATTTGGAAAAAATATTTGCATTTGAAAAAAGGTTATCCTCTTTTATAGTACCATAAATCCCTTAAGCAGCTGAATTCAATAGAAATAACGATCTGATTCATCAGTCCTAGATACAAGCTGCACATGCGGTCCTAGACGCGGCGCCATCGCTGACTGTCTGCATTTACCCATGCGCTTACTTGCACATTGCAAATTACTCTACAATCAATTGAAAAGTTATTTCCAACTGTTTCATAGTATCAATCAATATATATATGTTTTACATACTGCTTTGAATGCACTCTTTCATTAGCACCTGCAAGTGATTGAAAATTTAATTTGTCACACAGATTGGAATAGTTACCACTTTTCTATAATTTTCTTACATTTTAGTTTAATTTTTTGACGCTTGCATGATTTGGTCGTTGATGAGTTTGATTGATTTTGCTTTGATAGCTACTTACTTTATCATAAAATGTATTATTGTGTATCGCAAGCATTTTATAGAAAAAACACAACATGTCATATCGATTACGTTACTCGAAGCCGTACTGTATAATGTAATTATTTCGCTATCAAATTTTATTTGATTCTACGAATAATTTATCTCCACTAATGGCGCGATTACATTTGTTCGCTAGCCCGAATACGAGTGCCAATGGATTTCTGGTAAAGGACTAAGTGTAAATGAACGGAGACGAATACGCCCGTATTCGGGTAGATTTCCTTTTGTTTACCCGACACTGTCTTCCAGCCCGTATTCCTGTGTAAATATTGCTTCGAGTGCCCGAATTCGAGTAATTCGAGGCTAACGACCAAATGTAATTTCGGCATGAGACTGGGAGCAAAAGTATAACTCGCGGTCATCCATAAATAGGCTTGATAGAAATAACCTGACAGTTACTGTTAGTGGAGATGCGAGTAGAAACTGTTATTATTATTTTCAACAATAATATTATTAAAGATTTAAAGTCCAACCAGTTCCAAAGGTGGTGTCATTGGAGTGACATCTATAAAAAATCTTACCTTACCTGAACTCCGATGTTCTATAGAGCTAGTCAGACACACGAGGTGTAAACGTGGATATAAATATAGGTTAAAGTATGTACTACCTAATTATTTTTGACCAACTTTAGAAACAGGAGATTACATGTTTGAACTTTATGTTTGTAGTTTTATGGCGTTGCAAGACATTCGTATTATTTTAGTCTGTGTGATTTTGACCAGACCGGTCGCCTGTAAATAAACATTAGTCTCTCAAGTGCTCTCTCAAAAACAATTACTTTTTTGACGTGACAACGTCTTAAATTAGGTTGCGGCTGGGAGTCACTTATGAAAAAGTGTAACGCTCGGTAACGTTACGATGAGTCTCTCGTGTTAAGTTTAAGTTTACATGTACAATGTTTTAGTAAACAAAATATATTTCTATAGTTAAAATTTGTGCAATTCTTATTTTCATTCAATTCCTTGTTCCTATTGTGCAATTTAATTATATTCATATCAATAAATATTCTACCGAGAAAAAGACGTTGTCACGTAAAATCTTCGCCCGTAAAACCGACTTTACAGGCAACCATTTTTTTAATAATTCATTGAAGACGGTACTTTTATAATAATAATAACGTTTATATTTAAATGAACTACTAACACTGTACAAAAGCATGATTTGAAATTTATATAAAGCTCGAGCAAATTGCGCGGTGTGAACCGATGTTGGGTGTAACGATACGACGACACGCACGACGGACGGTCGAATGATGAACCGCCCTGACACCAATAGGGCCAGTACAAAGCGGCCTAACTGTAACCGACAGGATGACCCCGCCGACCAGGGACTAACAACCCATCTCTCTACCGGCATGCACAATCGCAACCAACTTGCAACAATGCTAACTACGCACTCGCGTACCTAGTCAGAGATCTTAAAATACGTCTGTTAAGCTAGCATGGTAAAGTGAGCAGAATTGCTTAAAAAAAGTTTATCAATTAGTGCTAATTTAGTGCCAAAACCTGAAATTTAATGTTCTCATAGTTTCGCGAATAAATATAGAACACTGCCAGCTTTTAATTAAGCTAGCAGTGTATTCCCTGAAACGCCTATATTAACGCGGTACAGAACTAAAGCAATGCATAGGGAATTTAGTGCTTAATGAGTGCTGGCAGTATCTGATAAAAAACTTGGAAGAAAAAAATTGTTTTTTTTATCAATCAAAACTGCTAGTATGACAGTCTGAGCAAGTCACCGGGTTGAATACATCACTCTGGATCGAAGATCTATGATCATAAACGGTTAATAATTTAGTGCTCAATGAGTGCTGCCAGTATGTGATACACTTTGCCATTCTAGCTAAACGGACATTCTTAAAATCCTAGCCGAGGTTAAAAGACTGTCTGCTATGTCTGATTATGCTTAAATGCCACAATACTCTTACTAACTATATATGATGATAAGATAACTACTTTATTAGTAGTTTTCTTCAGTTTGGTCCCGAATGATTGGTGTGAAAGTTGTGAACTGCATTTATTATCTTACTTCTTAATCACAAAGGAATCCAAATTACCAATTTATTACTACAAACGATGTCCATAGCAAGTGAACAGCTTACTAATTTCTACCAGTACTGTACAACGTTACGTCACCGTAGCTAATTTAAGTTGAATTCGAGCGTTCGCATATTTTATGCAAACGATGTGGATTGCAAAAATAAAGGAATGCCCGCCATCAAAAGCTGTCTAGACGGTCAAAAGCGAATATTTTATCTTCGAACACGAGTTTAGAAAAGAAATGTGCTCATTTTTTGTAAATGATGCATTTAAATAGTAATATAAGGATGATTTATTATAATAACAATATGGGTCAACCGTTACATAATTCGACCGTGGAGTGCATCGGATGTGAATTTATTTATGATCGAAGATGGTGCTCGGCGCGCTGGCGGGGTGGGCGGCGGGCGAGCGCTGCGCGTGCGGCTCTCTCCGCCTTATCTTTCGCGACCTCCGACGGACGCGCACGCTGCCCGCGCTCCACATCAGCCGCGTTCCGACCGCGCTTCTACCGCACTCACGCTATGCCACCTTCCCGACGATATACTTCTGTGTTTAGTTTCAAGTATTGTTATCGTTTCCGAAGTGCAGGACGTGGCCCGGAAATGAGTCAGTGAATCGGATTTTTTAGTAGTAGTGACGATTTAACTTTCAATATTGTCTGTTTATTAATTGAAAACTCTTACGAATTATTACAGTTTCATACGAATTTACGATGGTGTCTGAGGGCCCTTTGCCCGTAGTTTGGTGTATAAGAGATAATCAACTTGTGCCTCATCAAGTTTCTGGTGTAAAGTTACAAGGAGCGGTAACTGGCGCGCACATAGCTGCCGTCACGGACTTTTTGCGAATGGTTGCCGGGACTCCTATAGTGTTGCCGCACACGGCTGTCAGCGAAGATTTCGATAATGATATTAATCAAGAAAAAGAAAACTCGACTCGACGACGTAAGATGTCAATGCAAGTCGAGGTACCGTGTGTTTTCTTATCTGAAAGTGCCTTACAGAAGGCAAAAAGCCGCAGCAATTCACTAGATGATAAGTTATTATTTGAACAGTGTAAGACATTATCATCAACCAAAAGTTTTTTAGAAGTAGATAGCAAATCACATTCATGTGAATCTAAAGAGTCTGAAGACAATAGTCCACATGCGAGTGAAACTAAATGTACTCAAAGAATAAGAAGGATAATCGATTTAGATGATATTAATCCTAAGCTATTAGATACAGAAATTGAAAACGAACCTCTTCAAAGGATAACTAGAATTATTGAATTTGAAAATGATAGTGCGCCATCTTCGCCTATGTATATAGACGGAGAAACTGAACCTTTACAAAGAATAACCCGAATAATTGAATTAAACGACGATAATACTTTTTCAACAACTGAGTGCACCAGAGAGAACGATAAAGAAAATATGCAAAAATTATCTAGAATTATGGAATTACAAAAGCAAGATTCCTTTCCTAGTATGACTAAAATAATAGAAATGGAAAACGAAATATCTAATGAGAGAAGAATTTCATTAACCAATGAACGCGAAACCGGTGGTGGAATAGTCGACAGTTGTTGCGAAGAAGTTGTTGTTAGACCTAAGTTAGCACATAGAAGTACTCCTAGGATCAGTGTTGATTCTTCGTGCTCCGAAAACTCTTACGTTAATATTGACTGTATTAAGAGTTTGCCGGATGTAAGAAAAGAGGAAGGCACAGACAGTGGTATAAGTCCCGAATCATCACCAGCTGGCAGGTCTATTCGCTCGCGATTTCCTAGAAAAAAGACTTCGGTATGTTCGATTGGCTCTTCGGACTGCGATGATGAGATAGATGTTATATTTAAATCTAAACCAAAATCTAGTCAGTGGTTAAGTCTTGATTGGATACCGCCACCTCCCAAAGAAGAGCCAGTGATTACGCAAGTCTGTGATAAAAACGATTTTATAACTAAATGGATAGCGGAGCAGAACTCCCAAGAATCTGGAATCATTGCCGATGAAAGAAGAAAGAGTCTTCCACCCAAATCGAATGAAGTTTATCTTCAAAATATGAGGAGGTTCAGCGATAGCTTGCAAATATGCAAAGAAGACGCTGCTAGTGATTCACCCGCCACGGTTAAATGGAAGTGGCACGACATCGTCAAACGTCATTTGCAACTGTTAAAAAATGACAAAGGATTCAGGCGACAAAGAGGTAGTTGGATGCGAACAGGACGCCGCCTGTCCGGAACCACCATCAACCAAAACAAGAGCATCGATTTACCTCTGGATACTTACATGAAACTCAACTCTATGCCGTAAGTAATTTAATTTCTCTTCACAAGCCAATGAATTCAAGGTAGAAATATTTCGGTGCGTCCGTTGTATTTTTGTATACGTTAATGCGTGTCCATGCAACAGCCGGTCTACTTACCAACCCGTCTATCGGGTGGAACTGGTTGCCACCTGACGATCAGCCCACTGCATGCTATGTACTAATCATACCCATTGATATATGCCATGCATATATTTATTATATTAACTCATAAATTATCAGAATTATTCATTGGAAAACTGAAATTTATTCGAAATATAAATTTTTACATAACTCAGATGGGTTGTATGTCGTCGGTGCTACATATTAGCCTAGATTACTTTGGAGGCGGTGTATTGATAAGGCTGACCGTTGGGGCATGTTACGAGAGCGGGCCGAAGCACGCACTTCCGCAAGGCCGTCCGATTAGAATGCAGGGAGCTCGCGTCCAAGGCTACTTCTGTTCGGTCGGTCGCTGCACCGGTCTCGGCCGCCGTCTTCCTTGCCGGCGCTCGTTGGAAACCATCCCAGGAAGTACTCATTATGAAGGTGACGCGCCGAAATTTAACTACCATACGATCGGAAGTAATTGTGTTTTGAATATTGGACGGATCTTTGTTCGTGATACTTTGCGTGCTTCCGATCGTCCTTGATGAGTAATTGAGACATAAATTATATTAGATACTGCACTGCACAGACGTGGTAACTGTTAATGTAAACATGTATTCAATGGACTAGAGCGTATTTCTTTACAAAGAAATTAACCTTGTATCCCGTATTCCAACCAAAACAAAATTTAAATCTGATCACAACAAAATTTAAATCCAAAGCAATTTTTTATCTGAGTAATTATTGTCTTAATCCAATATTGTGATTAAGTACGTCGAGGATTTTCCAAATAAGATACAGCGATATTCACACATTAGAACTATGATAATTTACGTTTCCGATTAGATATGACTTTAAAAATGAACTTGCAGACCTCCCTGAGTGGCGTTGGCAACCTTTGTTGATATTAAGTCATATTTAGTGTGTACGGTGTTCTTTCTGAAAACACAAGTGTTGTGCATCAACATTCATCAACATTGCTATTGTGAGGAATGAGTGCGACCGCTCTTAGAAGAAACAAATGTGTTCACATCGAGATATTTGCTTGTTTTGTAGTCCAACTTTTGTTTATTTTCTCAAATACCTTTTGAAATCTTATGATATACACTACACACAGTTTTCTCTATAAGGCCCTTAGAAAATAATTTGCTATCAAAATTAAAATTACCATGCAGTTAGTGATGATTTTATTATGAAATTAATATACATATTTGAAGCAATCCGTCATTGCATAACTATAGAAACAGTTGATATATTTTCCCAAGTACAGTTTGAGCCTAATGTTAACGTGCTAAAACGTATAAAGTGTTATGTTATCATTGTCCATTATCAACATCTTATCTTTAAGAAATACAGAATTGTTTATTGGGACATGTTTAATTATAATCATTGATTAATCAAAGAGCACAGATTGCGGACTATTACATTATTTTATATTGTTTTGTTATTGGGTCTGTCGTGTCCAGTGTTTCGAACAGTATTTACGTGGAGTGTGTTCAATATATATCTTGAAGTAATGCGATGTATGTGCGTGCAGTGCGTCAAAGTCGTTGAACCCCATGTTTCGGCTGTATGGATAAGTGAAGTGCCGGGATGCCGCCTCGCGGATTGTGGCTGTTTGTTCAACAAATCATGCAGGCAGATCTGGCCTTCGAAGCTGAAAGGGAGCGGAATTTGAATAAAAAGTAACGTCTACCTTAACATAATTATGCATTTCTAAATCATCTATCCTCCATTCCATATCTATCACGCATAAATTAATGTGGGTCGTTCTGTTGAAATTAGGTATCGTTATATCTGATATTTCTATGAATCTTACCACAATAAAAACCGTCGAAGTCAAGTATTTTATTATACTGTTTCTCTATCCACTACCCACATTATTACTGTATCATACACAGATGCGGACGCGAAACCAGTCTAACCGTTCGATACTACAACAAATGATGATAACGAGGAATCTAATATTCCTATCTATCTAATTGGATGTAATGAAAACCGACATTCGGCTGTCATTAAATTGAAGCTGGTATTGGTATGCACCAAGCCACCAATCTCGACATTGGTGTTATTATCCAAGCCTAAAATAAAATTTGACAACAGTGTTTGTGTCTTGTTATTCTCTATACATATTGACAAAGAAAGACTGATTTTAATTTAGTTTTAAGTTGAGAGAGTCATGCCAGTATCGACGCCATTATAATTTATGCGTTACGCACTTTTTCAATTTAAGGAAGTTTGGAATTGAAACCACACTGTATAATATTAAATATGCATTAATGCACATCATAATACATGTAGAAGTTATTAAAAAAATGTTTAATAGCATTACTTGTTCACTTTCACTATGTCGAGCGCAATAATTTAGGTTTCATTCCGTGACGCGTCATAGTAACGTAGTGTTAGATTTGACCGTTTTAATTATATCTTACAGTTTGCTTTCTAATAAAATAATGGATTGCAATATATTATATACACTTATGTAGAGAGTTTCTCTCACGATATCCGTAATATTGCCATTTGTTTTATAAAATCTTACTTCAAACTGCTAACAACATCGGCATACAATAATGGAACCTTTCGTGTTTGTAGAAATTAGAAGTTAGTTCCTTATCACGCTCACCGCCAGAGGTCGCTTCATGTGAAAGAACAATACAACTGTTTTTTTTTGTTTGGTTTTACTTTTTGCTCGCGCGCTGCGCTTGCACACGCCGATCGCGGCCGATAATTATAGCTGTTGCGGATGTTTTCATGCGAACCGTTTCCATACATTTATCTTAGCCGAAGATCGAAATAAATCATACAAACCTTTTTAAGTTTCTGCTTTTTGAATTGCAAACGAAACATGATGTAACGATTATTGTTCGTATCATCCCCGAAACTGGTACTGTTACCGTTATCTCGTTAATAACTTCATGTTATCTGTGCTTCTTTTTTCGTTCTTTGATTTTATTGCATGTCAGTGATCTATTTACGTTTATCGGTCCCTGATTCGGTGTAGGTGTTTGTTGTATGTTTCAAAGTAGGTACGCAGTGGTGGTGTGTTGGAATGGCCATTTCGCAGTACATTAACAATCGTTTTGTTTCGCATCCTATCCTTATTCGGCCAGCAGAGGTAGTAATGCTTAACGACTCATTGTGGTCTTCACTAATAGCCTATGCCCAACTGCCATATTCACTGATGTTCCATTCCGGTAACTATGGAATCATTTGCTTCCCAACCACGTCATATTTATCTGAAAGACACGCGTCACGTGTAATGCCAATTTTATATGAGCTGCTGACGATTCGGACAAAATATGTACCTACGGACGCAGTTTCCGACCTTTTTAATTTAAATATTTTTTGTGTGTCAATTCGGTCACCACCAAATAAATCAAGCTTATTAGTATAATCAGATAAAAAAAGTGTTAAAAGTCACTTACTCTTTTATAACACAATTATTTTCATGAGTTTGTTTGGTAATTGGATTTATTTGTAACGCCACTACAATGTTTCCTTCATTCGTTTTTATTTTGTTTACTTTTAATAGTTATTAGGAAACATCGATACGATACTAGAATGCCGCCTTAGACACGATCTTACCCTTATTGTTAATTCAGCCGATGTCGCTATATGTATGATTGTTATCCTTATCTGACACTTGTGTGAGTAACGGGCTACCCCATATTACTCGCAAAAATACCGTTTAGCTTATTCTCCCGAATGGGGTTTTTAGCGCAAGTCTTACAATTTACAATGGTATTCATGAATCAGTCTTTCAGTGAACCAAATTCAGCTTAGCTCTTAGAGGTTACAGTATCGATTTTTGGATTAGTTGAAAGTTGAAAATAACAAAACCTCTATTGAATCTTGGATTATGATTATATACATATATTTAAAAAACTTTGTTCAAAATAATAAATAAATTTAATCTTTAAATCCTACTAATATTATAAATGTTGTTACCCAATCACGCAAAAACTACTGAACGGATTTGGATGAAATTTAGTACGCCTATAGTTTAAGACCTAGATGCAGACATAGGATACTTTTCATCCCGGAAAATGTTAGCTTCATGTAGGATATTCAAAAAACCGAAGTTAACGCGGGCAAAGTTGCGGCGGCCACTAGTATTATTATAAAATTTTGGACTACGCGTACATTGTTTCGATCTACAAGTATAGTTGAAGCTCTTTTGTCATGAAAATGAAATACAACGATTTTACAAATCAACAGAATGATTAGATAATACTAGGATTGAGTTTTATTTTTGGCAAAGTTGATATTTTCTGTGTGCGTTCAAATATCTTCCCTGTCTAAAAATATAATGCTTGTATTAACATGATACTAAGTAATAATGAGTTTTCAAATTTTTGTTATAAAATAATGATGTTGAATTATTGCAGTGCAGTAGTTTTCTCTCACACCTATTATCATTCCAAAGTCATTAAGGGATCCATGTGTGTGTGTCCAAAATACTGTTATTGATGTTATTAGTTTAATAGTATTCTGCCAATAAAACGGTAATTGCGATAATAACCATAGTTAAGTTCATACAAAGTTAGTTTTTTGGTAATCTCACAGGAACTTTAAGATTTTACCGGCGATAAAAAGTTCTTATGTGTTAGGCGATAATTTAGGTAATAAACGATATATTTGCCAACAAATTTTATCCAAAGCCGTTCACCCGTTTTAGCGTGAAAGACTAACAATAAACTACTTTTACACTCGTCTGTATAAATCATAATTAAAAAGCCTTGATTTTGAATTCGAGAGTATCAGTTTCTTTGCACCGAGGGTATGAATCGATCCATTACAATAAAAAAAAAACTTTGTAAGGTGAAGAAAACACGCACATCGAGCAGACAATCCTCTAGCAAAGTCCTCAACTTTTAATATTTCCGTCTGATGACC